CTGTAAATCTCCCCTATTTTGCATTTACATCACTGAACATAGAATTAACGTTAATGTTTTGTCTTCTCCTAATATCTTTCAGAGGCCATGAGTTTCACGGACAGATAAGGCTCCATGAACCACCTCCCCATCTATAACTAAATGCTAAAAGGCCTGTCTTGTGTAGGCCCAGTGCAGATAGCATCAGTACCTGTGAGTTTTACATTCCCATGGTTGTCCAGCTCAGAAGATATCATTTTGTAGTCTCTTTCCCTGTTTTTCTCTCTCACTTTCCCTCTGCCACCTCATCTGCTCATACAATGGCTTCAGAAAGTTATTCCCATCATATGTTTAAAACATGTGAAGGGAATGAGAAGGAAAAGTTTTATTTATTTGTGTTTGAGACAGGGTTTCTCTATGTAGCCCTGTCTGTCTTGGAACTTTTTTGTAGACCAGGCTGCCCTTGAACTTCTTCCTAGTGGTGGAATTAAAAGTGTGGAGAAGATGAACTTTTAAGGCACCTCAACTAATAGTATCCAGTGATTCATCTACCTACTGTCATTATGATCTCAAAACACAGCGACTCTTAATATCAAAGTAAAGTGGATTTTAAATTTACTCACTGACAAGTATCTCAGTATGGGTTTTAACTGCAAGACATATCTTAAGCTTGGAATGTTCATTTTTCAACATACATGAATTAAAACTTCACATTCTAATCTACAAATAATTAAAATTATTTGTCAGTTGAAAATAAAAATTCAAAGAATTTTAAGTATGAGCTTGTTAAAGACCTCAAAATCATCACAAAAGTTAAAATAAAAATAAAAGCAAATTGTTTCATTTGTAGTATTTTTACACATTTGAGTTCAAGTTCCTTGAGTTAATAAATAAGTCATTATTATTAATGAGTGTGTGGGAACATAGCAACATTATTCTGAGAATATGCAATTTGACAATCTACCTATTTGTTAATAATGTTTATTTGTAGGTCACTGTTGTCTTATTTAAGCATTATTTATAAGTGTAGCAGAACAAAAATGTGTACAACTATTTATCTTCTTGCTATGATTCACTTTTAGTAAAGAAACTTGCTTTAGTATTTTAAAATCAATAATACTATTTAAATTAATTCTTTAAATAGTTGATTTTAAATATTAAACAAACAGATCAAAATTAATTCAAACTTAAACAATATTAGCTACTGGATGAATGCAAATGATTATTTTTACTGAGATTAATATAAATGGCACAACAGCTAAATGTAATCACAAAACGTTGGTAAAGCGTTTCAAGAAACAAAAAGGACAATAAGAAAGTCATCTATTTAAAGCAGAGAAAAACCACTGCTCCAAAATTAGGATGGTCATAGCCCTTGAAATTCCCAAATAACGTGTGAAGGGATCTGCTTACTTAACTTAAAAGGACAAGTTAAGCATCATGCACCCTTGTCTTCTGCTGTTACTGATCTATGGGCTCTGCTGGTGCTCATAAACCATGGTAGAAAATTCATTTCATGCTTGTCTATTCTGATAAAATTCATGACTGAATTGTTTGAAAATGTTGGAAACACAGAATGATTATAGGAATGCCCCCAACTATGGACCAAACTGGAATCAAAGCAGATCTTCAAGCCACTATAACATTGGCCTGTCTTTATATTTCAGTTTTTAGAAGTGTGTCAAATTATGGCACACATTTTGATCAATAGAATTTCTAATCAATAAAATATGCAATAGGAAAAATTAACTAACAACGATAAACTGTAGATAAAACATGCAAGATGGAAATAAAGATTGTTTGGATGATAAGATTTCTAATGTTAGTCTTCCCACACTCTGATTATCCTTATGTGTTCTCAGTGATGAATAACAACGATTCATGTTCTCATAGTCTGTATATGTTTTAAAGAAGGAAAAATCAATTGTTGTCCTTTCTTGACTGTATCTCTTAAAGTTTGCTGGAGGTATAGGGCAAATATTCCTGGAATTTTGAATAACGAGATCTTGAGAAAGTGGGCTTCCATGCTGATGTTCTTCTATTTTTGGTTGTGAGCCTAGCCTTTAACAACTGAGCCGTCTCTCCAGCCCAGCCATACTGACATTCTTTCATGATTTTTTCCTTAATAATTTCTCTAATCATTCCATTTTACTCTCATGAAGATTGTATTCCCATCCTTTAAATATGACTATTCTTCATTGATCAAGTTCTGACCTTTTATTTTTTAATCTGTACATTTGTACTTATTAGTGGGTTTTACAATGGTGACTCCATTTTTTCCTCTAGGACAGAGTTCTCTTCATATGCCTCACATTGGAAACTGATTATTGGGCATTTCCATACTTTCAAAGAATAAATAATTAAAATTGAACTTGCTTCTAATCTTACTACCTACTCTGTGCTCCCTATTTTAATAAGTAGAAATACCATCCTGAAAACAGACAATGTTAAAAATTTAAATAAGCAAACCACTCATTATTACTAATACCAAATAAGTAGTGAATACTGATCTGCATGTCCACTCAAAATGTACACACTCCTTCAAAATCATTGCCCTCAAGATTGCCTATCTTAGTTAAGTTCAAGAGGTGTCTTGGACTTTCTGCAATGGCATAACAAGAGGATTTCAATGCTATGCATGACCTTCTTTGGCTCCATTCTTTGCATATAACCCCATGACTTCTATGAAATCATCTTGGTTAAACCAATCAGGTTTCACCTAAGAAAAAACTCAGCTGTGGGGATCCTCAATTACCCATAAATTTGCCTGCACAGGCAAACGCAAACACGTTGCAAAGACAAAATAAATAGATGCTATAAATCATCGTGTTATTATCCCTTATTAATTTGTTCTCATAAAATTTTATTGCTTACATTTATTTGTGGAATAAAATAAACAGCATAGTGTTATAATTATTAAGCAGAAATCGTTTCAATTAATACACCACACATTTGGCCCATCTCTTTTCAGAAGGATTTCTGTGAGGAATCTGATTTTCAAGAAGCATCCCTTCTGCCTTATGTTCTTTCCCTGTGAGGACAGAGAGGATATAGAGCAAGAAAGATAATCAATAATCCTTGGAACAGGACCAAACCACTCCAGGACAAAGTAAAGAAAGGTATGGCAATGTCATCCGCAAAAGTCTTTTCTCTATCAAGTGGAAAGGCTTAACAGCTACCAGGAAAGCTAAGGTCTTAGGTGAAATGAAGCTCAGTATATTACAAAGTTTATGGGCGATGTCTGAAGCAATTTTGTTCCTTAAGAAACCTCTTGAATCTCAGTGAACAACACTTTAAATTGCGAAGTCAAAGATCGAGCTGTAACAAAGTCTCAGCGAAATGTTTTCCTAGTTTCTCACCAAGTAAACAATATAGATTGTGCAATAAATAAAATGCTGCAGGAACAATTCTGTCATGGATAATTCATTGGGATTGCTATATACTCATTTGATGCATATTAACATTTCCAAAGCTTTTAGTTGTAGGCACATTTAGAAAAATTTTGCCAATATTAATAAAAATGTTATAATTTAATTATCATGTTTGGAGGTTTTTCATCAATTGCAATGAAATTTATTTTCCTCAACTTGTTTTCTCCAGGGAAATAAATGTAATGGCTGAGAACATGAACAATAAAACCAAGGATTCCTTCATTCACATACTAACTTTAGGAATTTGTTGATAAAATTTTAACAGACTATTCACTTCATTTTTTGAAAGGTGATAATAAACCTCAATAGAAGTCTGTAGGCATTAACATTACCTCTTGGTTCAGAGTTTAGTACAAAGGGAGAATATGCGTATTATAAGTTCCCTGATATTTTTTGTGTGTCTGTGGTTTTTTTTGTGTGTGTGTATGAACACACTTAAGACTATATATTAAACTATATTCCCTATTTGGGAAATATAACAAAAAATTAGATGGTTATCATTTTGTTTGGGTGTTCTTTTCCCCAGATATATCAGGGAATAGAAATGGACAAAGAGATTTATCACAAGGAACTGGCTGTAATGACATTGCTGACAATGTCCAAGATTTATACAAAGAGCAGCTAAAGACTCAGGCATTTAAAAGGACTCCATCCCATAGGACTGAGGGCAGGAAAATGAGCATTTCTTAGCTTGAAAGTCAGGTAATTGAAACTTATCAGGAAGGGTACTTCCACTTTGTTCCAATGGATGAAACCTCCACCTGCCACCAGTACCAGGGACAGCAAGTTGCTTTATAAACTTTGCTAATTCAAGTATTAATCTGACTCAGATAGTTTCTTGTTTTGTTGTTGTTGTTTTTATGAGACAGGGTTTCTCTGTATTGTTTTGGAGGCTGTCTGTCCAGTCCAGCCTCGAACTCACAGAGATCTGCCTGCCTCTGCCTCCCGAGTGCTGGGATTAAAGGCGTGTGCCGCCTGGCCAGATAGTTTCTTAATATACAAAAAGAATAGTGTTTAACCTGATAGTTGGGTATCCCAGTCAATTTAGAACATGAAAGTATCCAACACAAATACATCCTGTTGACTTGGTAACCTATACAGAGATTTTTAAATCACATTTAATTTGTGCTGAAGACTCTTGAACTTAAACTTTCCAGACTTTAAAACTGAGGGGAAAAGTTCCATTCATTAGAAGGTATCCAGTCTCAGTATTTTTATTTCATCACCACAAGACTTAAAGTCCTGTGTCAGAGCCCTGTTCAAGGCCTATGAATGGGCATGTCAGCCCACGTGATCACTTTTCCTTCCACATATAGTTTATCAGCAAGTACTCAAACTTCAGCCTTAAGTAAAGTTTTACATTGCCGATATTATAGGTGATCTACGAAGAATCTCTGTTGCTATTGCTGTTCACCATTAGATGGTGTCTAAGTATTGTGAAGAACCCTATACTAGCAGCTCTACATTTTATCTTTCTTTATCAGTGACTCATAAGGAAACTCCATGAGGTTGCAATAGTGAAACAGGAGTGGGAACAATAAACATTTGGGCTTCTGTGCTATGGAAGTCACTCATGCCTTCAGGGCCTGCATGGGCTTTGTCAGGTAGGTCCTCTTTTCTAGATGATAGAGTAATCTTATGCACGCAGGTTTTTGTGTTGCTCATAGAATAACCAGTTCGTGGAAAATCAGACCAGATAACTTGATAAGTCTACCAAGGTTTAACTATGAGGCCAAAAGATATTTCTAAAAATGATAATGATTATATAAGAAAGATAATATGTTTGAGCTTAAACATTAGAAGTCCCCAAATAATGGTTCATTCACAGGAGCCGACTAAAGTTTACAAGCAGCATAAACTATTTCAGTTCTGTTGCATCTGTCATGTCAAGTTACCTGGTCTGAAAAGGAACACACATAGCAGCCTGTACAAATTGTAGTTCCTTCTCCAAACATGCATTATCTCAAATTTTCAGCTTTGGAGGCTATTTAATGAGTGGGTTAGTATAACAGAACTACATGAAGATTTGATGCCTCCAAAATCCAAGGATGCACAACAAAACTTGGGATTAGCATGATGAAACAACTTATCACTGACTTTAGATACAGCATATCAATATACTGCACACTGGATCCTAAGAAAATTACCTAATCAATGAACTAAAATAATATTTGGAGTCTCATCTCATCTAGATTGCATGGGTTCAGAACAAATGTTCACCCAATTCCTTGGTTGTCGTGGAATTGGTAGCACTCAAAAGATAATCTAGCATGCCTCTATTGTGGTATCATGCTATGGATAGATAATCAATGCTCATTGCTATTAGAAACAGAGTCACTAACCTCTTCAAATATAGTCAATTAAAATCAAGTAAGGAATCTCCAGAACCTAGCTGAAAAAGTAAAAAGCCTTCCTAAAAATTATTTCTCTTGAGGGCCTGGACCCTCCACCAAATGATGTGAAGGAATTTGTTTGTCTCCCATAGAGGGTGTTACTATACCTGGGGAGATGGTGGGGGTTGGGTTGGGGGATGAGTGGGGAGCATGGGAGGATGGCAGGGTGAGGAAATGGGGGGAGTGATATGTAAATAAGATTGCTTCTAAAATAAAAATATTTAAATATTTAAAAAGGAAAAAAATTATTTCTCTTGAACCACTTTCATCACTAACCAAACTTCTCTAAAAAGAAAAATAAATAGGATCAATCTCTCTTTATCTCTCTGTCTCTGTCTCCGTGTGTGTGTGTCTCTGTCTCTCTGTGTGTGTGTCTCTGTCCCTCTCTGTCTCTGTCTCTCTGTGTCTCTGTCTCTCTCTCTGTCTCTGTCTCTCTCTGTGTCTCTCTTTCTCTCTCCTTTTTCCTCTTTTCATCCTGTTCATTTCCTCTTTGAAACAAAACATTTACTTTTCCTACAACATTTTGTGCCTGTTTGGGAAGAATGGAGAAAGGAAAAGAAGAAATTGAGGAAGAAATGAAGGAGAAAGACAAAGAGAGTGGGAGAATCGGTTTTCTGTGAAAAATTGACTCAAGTCCCAGAATCTGCATTAAGCCAATGACTATTTCTCATGGAGGATCAGGGAAGCCAAAGGTTGCATTCAGCCCACATAAAAAGTTCTTGAATCTTTTATTCTAATTCTGTAAGTACTACTCTGAGTGTCACTCTGAAGGCAGAAAAAAGTTCAGGGCCCAGAGTAAGGCAGAGAGATTTCTCTATTGCTACGACTTTTGCTCTGTGGAAGCCTAAAGGAAGTAGGTCATGAAAGACCCTGGCCCAGTCTAAACAGGCAGCTGAGGTTTATGGAAAATTCCGTTTCCCCCACAGCTGAATAGTCATTGCTATCAGAAGGGAGCTCTGCCCAGGGACACAGGCTGCCGGGTGTCTGCTGCAACCAGATGGCCAGCCCAGCAAGATTGGGCAAGCACAGAGACCTATTGTTCCTCAGATAGGGCCAAGGCCGAGACTTGAGTTCCAAGAAAAACCTCAATTGCCCTCGTTCTGAGCCCTAGCCTCATTTAAATTGCCCAATCAGGGTCCTGTTACTAGGCTTCTCGCTTCTGTACTGCGCTTTTTTGCTATAAAAGAACCCCTGAGTCCCCAGCTCGGGGCTCTCAGTTCCCGAGACTGAGACGCCCCCGGGTACCCGTGTATTATCAATAAAGCCTCTTGCTGTTGCATCCAAGCTCATGGTCTCGTTGTTCCTTGGGTTCGGGTCTCCCTTCCGTGAAAGTATCCCTATTGGGGTCTTTCATTTGGTGCGTTGGCCGGGAAAGCCTTTGAGACCCCCACCCAGGGACCACTGACCCACATCTGGGAGGTAAGAATTGTCCGGACTCAATTTCTGTTTGTTGTCTGCTGTCTGTCTATGCCTGTTCGCGCCTGCGTTTGCGTTTGTAGTATACAGCTGTATGCATTTGTATTTGGCGGCACCGAGGAGGAACTGACGGGTTCGTACTCCCGACCGCAGCTCCAGGAGACATTCTGGTAGCGTTTGGAGTCCTTAGGGACTCATCTGGGTTTGGGGTAGATGTCTAGGAATCTGCCCCGTCTGTATCTGGAGTCCTTAGGGACTCGTCTGTTTGGGGTAGATGTCTAGGAATCTGCCCCGTCTGTTTGGGGAAGTCCCGCTGGCCGAGGGATTTTCCATCCGTGTAGGGGACGAGGACGGGAGCACGAGGCCCCCGTCCCCAAGCCCATCTGAATTTTTGCTTTTAACTTTACGTCAAAGCCGCGCAGCGAAAATCTGTTTGTTTTTGTTTCTTATCTGTTCGTCCGTCTTAGTGTCGTTTGTCATCGCTCTCGAGAAAATGGGCCAGACAGTTACCACTCCGCTTAGCCTGACCCTTTCACATTGGCAACAGGTTCAGGAATACGCTCACAACCGGTCTGTCGATGCGAGCAAGAAGCAATGGATCACCTTTTGCTCTTCTAAATGGCCAACTTTTGATGTTGGCTGGCCATGAGATGGCACCTTTAACCCTCAAATTATCTTCCAGGTGAAGGAAAAAGTCATGGATCCTGGACCCCAGGGCCACCCGGACCAAGTACCCTATATAGTTACCTGGGAAGTGTTGGTCTATGACCCTCCTCCCTGGGTGCGCCCCTGTGTGCACCCAGGAGGTCCCTCCCCCTTCTCTTCCCTAACCCCTGCCACCGCCGCAGCTGCAGGCACCGCTCGGGCTGCAGCTCATTCCCGGTTCGCGTTCAGCGTCCCGGCCGCTGCGCGAAGGGCGCCCTGAGTGTGACGGCGCGACTGGCGGCGGTGCAAGGAGAGCTTCGTCTGCCTCCTTGCGGCCCTCGGTGGACCGGGTACGGACAGAGAGCGGCCGCCACGCCCCTCGCCCCGCTCCCCGGCGGCCGCTCAGTCTCTTCCGGGCGGCGCAGCAGCCTCAGCCCGCTCCGGATTCAACCGCCCTGCCTCCCCGTACGGGCCCCGATGGCCAGTTGCAGTACTGGCCGTTCTCTGCCTCAGATCTTTATAACTGGAAAAATAATAACCCCTCCTTTTCAGCAGACCCCGTGAGACTGACTGATCTATTAGAATCGGTTCTCACTACAGCGGGTCCTGGGTTCCTGGGGCAAATGGACAACCTACGCAGCTTCCAAATGAAATTGATGCTGCTTTCCCCCTTGACTGTCCCGTCTTTATCGCCAGTTGCTTGTAGCGAGTCTCCGAGGGACGGGTAAGCGATCTACAAATTTGGCCCAGGTAAGACAGAGAGTTCAGAAGGCAGAGGAATCGCCAGCCACATTTTTTTTAGAAAGACTTAAGGAAGCTTACAGAATGTATACCCCATATGACAGGGGTATACACTACCAGATGTATTGAGGGAGGCAGAACGCATTTTTAATAAAAGAGAAGCTCAGGCAGAGAGAGAGAGAAAAGATGGAGACAGAATGTCAGAGACAGGAAATTAGAGAGAGGGAGATAGCAAGGGACAAGAAGCGTAACAGAGAAACTGTTGGCCACAGTAGTCGCAGAGCAGAGACAGGATAGGTAGAGAGAGGGACAAAGGGGGCCTCACTTAGAAAGAAGGACCTTTCAGAGACCCAAACCCCCTGCCGGTCCCCCTGGAACACTCCCCTGTTGCCAGTCAAGAAGCCAGGAACCAATGACTATAGGCCGGTCCAGGACCTCCGGGAAGTCAATGAGCGGGTTGAGGACATACACCCCACGGTCCCCAATCCCTACAACCTCCTGAGTGGACTGCCACCTGACTATATTTGGTACTCAGTCCTGGATTTAAAGGATGCCTTCTTCTGCCTGCGATTACACAAAGACAGTCAGCCACTGTTTGCCTTTGAATGGCAGGATGCAGACCTGGGAATCTCGGGACAACTTACATGGACTAGGTTGCCCCAAGGGTTCAAAAATAGCCCCACCCTCTTTGATGAGGCCTTGCATCAGGACTTGGCCGGATTTAGAGTCCACCACCCTGAGGTCATTCTCTTACAATATGTGGATGACATCCTGATAGCCACCAAAACAGAGGAGGAATGCCTTAGGGGGACAGAAGCTCTCTTAAAGACTTTAGGAGACTTGGGGTATAGGGCCTCTGCCAAGAAGGCCCAAATCTGCCGGACCCAGGTCACCTACTTGGGGTACAGAATCCAGGATGGAGAACGTTGGCTAACAGAAGCCCGCAAACAGGCCATCCTTGACATCCCTCCTCCCAAGACCCCCCCAAAAACTGCGGGAATTCTTGGGAATGGCAGGTTTCTGTAGGCTATGGATCCCCGGGTTCGCGGAAATGGCAGCACCCCTGTACCCCCTCACCAAGATGGGGGCTACCTTTGACTGGGGGGAGAGCCAGGAGAAAGCCTTCATGGACATCAAGAAGGCTCTGCTCAGCTCCCCAGCTCTGGGGTTACCTGATCTGACTAAACCCTTTGACAAATTGACTTTGGGGCAGCCTTTGACTATCTATGCCCCCCCCCCGGCTATGGAGGCGGTCATCAGGCAGCCACTGGGCCGCTGGCTCACCAATGCCAGGATGACAAGGACCAAATTCACTTCAGGGCTCCGGTGACCCTAAACCCCTTCCCAACCCCGACCATGTCTGGTTCACGGACGAAAGCAGCTTTGTACATCAAGGGGGGGAGGGAGCGCACTGTGGAGGATGGAGCGGGGGCGGAAGCGCGCCGACACGGAGGAAGGAGCAGCGGGAGCCGCACGGCCCGAGGCCGGGAGCTGAGCGGAAAGCCGGCGCGGCTGCGAGTGCCAGCAGCCTCTGGTTTCTTCCGTGACTGGGTCCCACCTCTGTTAACACAGGCTCTGAAGCTGGCGGAAGGTAAGAGACTTACTGTCTACACAGACAGCTGTTATGCCTTTGCCACGGCTCACATCCACGGTGAAATTTATAGACAAAGGGGGCTATTGACCTCAGAGGGCAGAGACATTAAGAACAAAAAGGAAATCCTGGCCCTCTTAGAGGCTCTGCACCTGCCGACCTCCCTCAGCATCATACATTGCCCAGGGCATCAGAGAGGCGACAACCCAGTCGCCCGGGGAAACCGGAGGGCAGACCGGGCCCCCCGGGAGGCTGCCCTGGCCATGGGAAACAGCAGTCACCTCCTTCAAGCAGCTGTAGTCTGATTAGCAGCCTACACAAACTCACTCATTTGAGCTCCAGGAAAATGCAAGAACTATTAGCCCGGGAAGAAAATACCCGCCACCTGTTGGAAATGGAAGAAACACTAAAACAAGTGACTGAGCGATGTGACGCCTGCGTCCGCGTAAATGCAACCAGGCTAAAGCTACCCATGGGGACCCGAGCTCGGGGGCACCGGCCTGGGGTGCACTGGGAAATAGATTTCACAGACCTCTTGGTTTTTGTTGACACCTTCTCGGGATGGACTGAAGCCTACCCCACCAAGCACGAGACGACAAAGGTGGTCACCAAGAAACTTCTTGAAGAAATCTTCCCCCGTTACGGAATGCCACAGGTATTGGGGACAGACAACGGGCCTGCCTTTGTTTCTCAGGTAAGTCAGTCTGTGGCCACCTTGTTGGGGATTAATTGGAAATTGCATTGTGCTTACCGACCCCAAAGCTCAGGACAGGTAGAGCGAATGAATAGAACCATTAAGGAGACTCTAACTAAATTATCGCTTGCAGCTGGCACTAAAGACTGGGTCCTCTTGCTCCCCCTTGCCCTCTATCGTGCCCGGAATACACCGGGCCCCCATGGCCTCACCCCTTTTGAGATTTTACATGGAACCACCATTCCCTTTGTTCAGTTCTTTGACCAAGATATTTCTGACCATGCCAATTCCCCCTCTCTTCAAGCTCACCTGCAGGCACTCCAGCTGGTCCAGCAGGAAGTCTGGAAGCCCCTGGCCCAAGCCTACCGAGATCAGAGGAGACACCCTATCGTCCCCCACTCCTATCACGTGGGAGACAGCGTTTGGGTCCGACGCCACCAGGTTAAGAACCTTGAACCCTGCTGGAAGGGACCATACACTGTCCTGTTGACCACCCCTACTGCTCTCAAGGTGGACGGGATTGCTGCTTGGATACACGCCTCGCATGTGAAAGCTGCCTCCCCTGAGGATCCAAACCCAGGATGCAGGGCTCAGCGCACTCAAAATCCTCTAAAGATAAGACTCTCCCGAGTTATTTGATTGCCTTCTTATGCTTCATGCTTACCTTTCCCCTTATTGAGGGAAGTCCTCACTGAGTACTCAATATTACTTGGGTGATAACCAATCTGGGGACAGGACAGACTGCAAACCTGAGTTCCCAACTTGGGGCTCTGACAGACACCTTCCCCACCCTATATTTTGATCTATGTAATCTGGTGGGGGAAGATTGGGACCCCTGATCATTATACTTTTCGTTCTGATGTTTGGGCCATACATCTTAAACAGACTGACCCAGTTCATAAAAGAAAGGTTACAATCCCTGGTCTTGACTCAACAGTACCAGCAGCTAAAGCAAAGGGATTTCGAGATAGCAGAAACCCTTGAATGAAAGATTCCATTCAGTTACAAGAGCAATGGGGGAATGAAAGACCCTGGCCCAGTCTAAACAGGCAGCTGAGGTTTATGGAAAATTCCGTTTCCCCCACAGCTGAATAGTCATTGCTATCAGAAGGGAGCTCTGCCCAGGGACACAGGCTGTCGGGTGTCTGCTGCGACCAGATGGCCAGCCCAGCAAGATTGGGCAAGCACAGAGACCTATTGTTCCTCAGATAGGGCCAAGGCCGAGACTTGAGTTCCAAGAAAAACCTCAATTGCCCTCGTTCTGAGCCCTAGCCTCATTTAAATTGCCCAATCAGGGTCCTGTTACTAGGCTTCTCGCTTCTGTACTGCGCTTTTTGCTATAAAAGAACCCCTGAGTCCCCAGCTCGGGGCTCTCAGTTCCCGAGACTGAGACGCCCCGGGTACCCGTGTATTATCAATAAAGCCTCTTGCTGTTGCATCCAAGCTCGTGGTCTCGTTGTTCCTTGGGTTCGGGTCTCCCTTCCGTGAAAGTATCCCTATTGGGGTCTTTCAGTCACAGCCATTCACTTTGGGGAAGGCAACTTGTTTTACTCCCTATTCTGGTCAAACTGTACATCTCCTTGAGGAACTTCTCACACACCCTTAACACTCATTTTGCAAAGCAATTATTTAAAATAAGTTTAATTTTCATTCTAGAAGCCAACTTACTTCTGCCAGTATCTGGTGTTGTTTTCTCATAATAGCAAACCGCAACCAAGTGCAAGTCCACCTTCTATGTTCCCATGAGACAAGTCTGTTTTCCAATCCAGAAAATCGTCCTGATTTCCCTCTTCTTTTCCTTCAGGCTTTTATTCAGACCCTTTAGTACTGCTATCATCTAGAGTTGGGGAGTCTGTAAAATCTGTCACAACAAGATTCTAACAAGTTCTTTCAGCCTATTTTCAAATCCCTTCTGGTATTTGATGGCCTTTTCTCCTTTTTTTCACCTTCATTTCTTTCTAAGTCCTTTCCTTCTTTGTCTCAACCATATACATTTTAAACTGTGCTACTTTGTCATTCTTCTTGAGGAACCATCTATATTTACATTAAGATTTGCTGCTGTTTGTCTCATAGTGGTGATTCTCTTTCATGCAGCTGCTTTAGTTGAAATGGGCAATTTTCATGAAAGAAAATCTTAGACTGCAAAATATGTCTATCTGAAGTATTTCCCAAGCACTCCCTGTTTTCTGACAATAAGCAAGTTTTTAATGCAAGACATGTCTTTGCCAACTTCATTGAAGTGAGAAGCCAGGCAATGGGCTAGGGGTTATGTCAATGAAAAGGCTGGCTTGCCTTCAGACAAATGGGAATGTACTTTGTAAAGATGTGTAGGTTTTGTGTGTGTGTGTGTGTGTGTGTGTGTGTTGTCCCTGGAAGTATCCAAATGAAGACAGTTGTTTTGTTTCTTATCTTGATGCTGGTGGCCATTCTGTAAATCGGCGTCTCACATCTTTGTTATATCTTCAAAGATATTTTGTGCCTTTTTCTTAAAGGGACCTAAGACCCGTGTTACCCAGCTAACTACACACTTTTTCCATATGTCCATTAATTGATTTGAAGAGGTTGTCCTTGTTGTCCCTGCTGATTCTGGTGTTGTAATTTGGCTGATGATATGGGGGGAAAGATCACTGTTCACTTCTCACACCATTGCTCTATCGCCACGTGAGTTTTCCCTGTGGGCCTGGTTTTTATGTTTACATAATCCTTACTCTGGTCCAGGGTGCTGTGTGCCTGCTTCCTGGCCTCAGTGCCTTAATGCATGTATTTCTTGTATTCAATGTGTATGCCGATCTAACATAGTCACTCTTATCTGACAGGCTTGAATAGAGTTTCAGCTTTCCATTTGTCATAGGATATTCCAAAATATAAATGGAGTGTATCTCACTATTTCATTAGCATTATTTCTTTTGCTACAAGTAACAAAACATAGACTAGAAACTTCTCCAAATTATTCCTCGTATAGGTAGGTCTTAGAACATTTTTTGTTGCCATTGAGCAGAAAAAATAATCCCTTTTAAAATTTGTGCTGTGAGACTTTTATTTCTACTTTATGTTTAATCTGCCTGCCATTGTGTTGTGAAACATATTTTCATGCCATAGGTAGATATATGAATTTATGCAACTATTTGCAATCCAGGAAAACAAATGAGAAAAAATGGTTTTATGTCACTGGCTCCCAGAAGTTCAGTTCATTGTTTAGCTGTGGGTGTCTGCCTCTATTTACATCAGTCGCTGGATGAAGGTTCTATTTTCCAAACTCTGTAGCAGTGGGATTGTATGATGGCACTCCACTGATTCATGTCTAAAATATATAATTGTGAGTACATACCATGTTCATCTTTTTGTGATTGGTTTACCTCACTCAGTATGGTTTCTTCTAGTGCCATCCATTTGTTTGCAAATTTCAAGATTCCATTGTTTTTTTCCCCATTGTGTAAATGTACCATATTTTCCCTATTCACTCTTCAGCTGAGGAACATCTAGATTGCTTACAGGTTCTGGCTATTACAAATAATGCTGCTATGAACATAGTGGAACAGACATCCTTGTTGTATGAATGTGCATCTTTTAGGTATATGCCTAAGAGTAAAATTGCTGGGTCTTGTGGTAGACTGAGTCCCATTTTCCTAAGGAGTCTCCATACTGATTTCCAAAGTGGCTGCATGAGTTGGCACTCCCACCAGCAGTGAAGGAGTGTTCCCCTTTCTCCACATCCTCTCCAGCATAAACTGTCATTGGTGTTTTTTGATTTTAGCCATTCTTACAGGACTAAGATGGTATCTCAAAGTTGTTTTGATTTGCATTTCCCTAATGGCAAGGAATGTTGAGCACTTTCATAAGTGTCTCTCAGCCATTTTAGACTCCTCCACTGAGAGTTCTCTGTTTAGTTCTGTACCCCACTTTTTAATTGGATCCTTTGGTGGTTTGGAAACTTATGTCTTGAGTTCTTTGTAAATTTTGGAGATCAGCCCTCTCTCAGATGTGTGGATAGTGAATATCATTTCCCAATCTGTGGAGTGCCTTTTTGTTTTGCTGACTGTGTCCTTTGCCTTACAGAGATGTTTCCCAAGCTTAGGAGAAAGTTCTCAGTCTCTGTAACCCACCAAGGGACAAGGGGAAAACTGTCACAAAGGAAAGACACACAACTGACCAAGCACTGGTATGTTCTAGTGACCTCCCCCTCAGTTTCCAAATAGAAGAAAATACCAGCACCACTGACTGCCTTCTAATAACTATTTTACAACATGCTTCATACGTATGAGAGGGCACCAAGGGGGGTAGTATTGTTTCCTAATACAAAGCAGGCCCAGCTGGACATGGTTTAAATGTCCATCTCCCTTACAGCTATGGAGTTGAAACATTCCTCATATGTTTACTGGCTGTCTTTATCACATCTTTTGAGAAACAATATTCATTAGTTCGCTTATTGGTTGTGTTTAATTTATGACTGTGTCCTTCTTTTGAAATCTGTATTTCAGAAACTTCTACATTGCTTTTTCTGATGAATTACAAATGCTAATATAGTTTTATTTCAAAGTATACCGTTTAATTTTGAAATATTTATTAATTTTTGTTACTTTCTTATTTAATTTCCTTTTGGGTATAGAACACATTTTATATTATTTCACTTATATTTATATAAAGCATTATATGATTAAGAATAGGATCTATCTTCAGATTTTTCTACATCTACTTATAAATAATGAATATCCTATGTTAGTTGGATGGATTAATTCTATTTTTTTTCACAGTGAAAATATGTCCTGTAAGATTCAGTTTATTTGTTTAAGTACTCATACTTCCTTTCTTCCTTTTTTCTCTACCTATTAATGTAATCAGTTATATTACTTACCCAGAGAACATGTTAAACTTACCTGTATTCCTAGGATAAACTGCAACTCTCCAGAAATCACAGAAAACATCAAAAATATTCATTTAATCATTGTTTCTGTACTAAAATGGGGACACACACACAGCTGACATTGTTTGTAGAGTTCACATGAAGAGCACACAAAATCAAGTGCCCACAAAACGTCAGAAAACATCCAACACCTAAATCTAACCAAAAAGGAATTTTGCACATGCATTTTGAAAACAAACAACCAAAAAGGGCAAAAAAACTGTGACCACTTTTTTCTGAACCAAAAACAAATGAAAACATTCTTTATATATAATGCATTCAGCAAATATTAAATTTCGAATTAACACACTATAGTTTCAAATTAATAGCATAAAATACATCTCTTAAGTATTCTCACTGTTAAATACATTAGCAAATTTTTCAAAACTTTTTGTCAGTGTGTAAAACAGAGAAAAAAATGTCAACTCTAAAAGAACTTTTGGTGGTGAATATTAAAGTGATTTACATGCACAATAAACCAGAAGCAGGTATTAAATCCACACTTGTATAAGTGTATGGGTTTAACTGCAGTGTAGCATAATGAATTTCACTGTAAAATTTAAAACAATAGAACAGATACTTCATGAGGGCAGTAAAGTCGCACTGATAGCATTGTATCTCCAGACTTGACATTTCAAATCGGGCCATGAATAATTAAGTACCAGACTGTTTCATTTCCATACCTTTGTTTCTCTCCTCATAATTTCTTATTCTTATTTCTTGTTCATAATTCCAAGCATCATTTTTGCTGCTGAAATATAGCCTATGATTCTCTTTCATTGCATTTGTCAATATTGAATATCATTGTGAATAGGCTGGCTAGAAATACTTCCTGTATTCTCCAGTTTTTTATATTAACCAGAACTACTTTGCTTTGGAGAAAAGTATCTTCTGTATCCATCAAAATGGACCTGCAGCCTTGAATTGTTCAGAAAGAAAGCTCTAAGAAATGTATAACTCGCTAACAAGCATAAAATGAGAGATCTACAGAAAGGTCAGCTCTACTATGAGTCTCTTGCTGTTTAAGGAGTGGTCCTATGGGAACACAGCATGTCTTAAAGGACAGTCCCAATGTCTTTATGACTTCGAGAATTAGGGAAAAGGCTGAGAAATCCCATGATGGCATTAAGCTAAATGTAAAAGTGCCTCTGCACTTCAGGACTTAGCCTGCATCCTGTAAGTTGGGAACTTGTGCTTATTATGACATCAGGGAATACTGATTTCCAGAGTGGGGAAAATTCTTATTTACATGACAGTAAAACAAATGATATAGTGAGCCAATTCCCTACAAAAGATATTTCATGTCTGCTTGATGAAGAAAGGATCTTGAGTACTATTGTGAAAATGTTTACATGCATTTGAGTGTGTGTGTGTCCCTGTGGGCTTCACTGGTAGAATTGAATTCAGCTTTTATAAACTGCTGTTTGGGCTTCTTGTGGTTGTTTTATTGTTTTTTTAGTATTGGTTTACAACTGTAGGATTATGATCAAATATCTAATTTTAGCCCCTACTCCTCTCACAGAACTCCGAAAATATGGAAATGCTCATGTGATGATTTGTGTGGTAAGGACAGGCCCCCTCTAATTTTCTTTAGCCTGGGGAGTGTTTACAGGAATGATTCAGGCAGAATTACAGAGATTCGGGCACCATCTCCCAACCTCTTGAAAGAAGGGTGGCAGTGAGAATTGATCTTCAATCGACAGTGATTTAATCATTTATTTTTTATCAATAAAGGCTATGGAAAACCTCCAAAGGACAGAACTTGAAATTGTTTGGATGGAGGAACAACTGGGTTCTGGGTTCTCCTGGAAGGGCTGCACTCAGAGAAGTTACAAAAGCTCCCTCACCTTCTTTCCCCTATACTTAACCATCTACGTTTCTTCTCCTGAACTCTTTATCTTATACTCAATTAGAAATAAGTAACAGTATCCCCATAATTTTGTGAGCCACAGGAATTAATTGTACCTGATGAGGGCTTTATGGATGGTTGATAAATGCATGGCAAATTAACCTGGGGCTTCCAGCTGGACTCTCAAAGGATGAACAGTCTTGATACTGAGCTCTTAACCTGAAGGATCTGCCACTATCTCCAGAAAATGTCAGAAGGGAATTGGATTACAGGACACCCACTTGCTGTCCCCGAGGAGTTAATTGAATTTCTGCTGGTGAGAAAAATTTCCCTTTCCTTTACAGTTACAGAAGTGACCTTGTGATGGGTAGTCAGCAAAACTTCTGGGTTGTTTTCAACTACAGTTCAACCTCTGTTCTTATATGATTCCAAGCCAGTTGATTGAATAATGTGATTTGATTTTAATATTGGAATGTTTTCAGTTTAATCCCTTTAAGGAAGGGCATGAAGCAGACTGGAACAGAAGTAACACTCCCTGAAAGCAGAAGCAATCTTTCCTACTATATTCCCCGGAAGTTGCATTCCTCTTCTTGGAGAAATGAGAAGGCTCCCTATAAAGGGTTTGTTGTTGTTGTTATGGTTGTTGTTGTAGATGGAGAAACCCTAGATGATGTCATGGATTGTCTTCTTGAAACCTGCAGAGTAAAACCATTTGCGTTTATAAATTCCCAGATCAGAATTGGGGGTTAAGAAGTGAAATGCCCCTTAAAAGTTTCCTGTTTGAATAGCTTGGTCCTATTGGAGCTACGAAGTGGTAATTGAGATCCTGAGGACACGATCCTAACATCATCCACGGTTAGCTCATGAGATCGTGTAGAAAGGGTTACTAGGAAATGGACTCTGAAAAAAAATGTAACTATGGGTGTGACTTTGGAGTCTTTACTTTGCCCCTGACCTCTTCCTCTTCCCTCTTCCCCCCTATTCCTCTGTATCTTTCTCCCCTCCCCTTACAGATTTCCTGTACACACTATGGCATGCCCTTCTACTCTGATGTATGGAAGACTCAGTATGGTGACACACTCCTGTGTTTCTGGAACTTGGGAGACAGAAGAAGGACTGACAACTCAAGGCAGCTCTTCCTGCACAGTTCCAGAACAGTCTGGGCTGCATGCCACTCTGCCTCCCCAAAAGGAAAACAAAAAGAAACAAATGAAAAAGCAACAGAGATGCTAAGACTAAAACTTCATAAACCATGAGACAGAAGAAATCTTTCTCCCTGTAAAAAAATTAGCTTTTCTCGGGATTTTTATAACAGAGATGAAAAGCATCACCTTCTGTAATCAAAATATAATTTTTATCAGAGAGAATGCATCCTTGAATGGCAACAACCTTTTTTTTTGTTTAGCAGAGACCATGTGGTGGGAAGAATTCTCTCCTTTTATGAAAAACATTGAACAAACACACACTGAACAGAAAGAAATTTTGTTACATATACATTTATAAGAAATCTTTATGGTGTATTTGTATCTACTCGTGAATGTGTTCACAGGTGTGAATTTAAGCTCATGTAGAGGCCAGAGTTTAATGACTGGCATCTTTCTCAATTTCTTTCTCTACATAATTTCATGTGTTTCATTTGGTTTTGTTGTTGCTGTCATTGGTTTGTTTATTTGTTTTTGGATACAATATCACTCACCGAATCTAGAGAATATTAACTCCACTGATTTGTTGACCAGAAAGCCATAGGAATTCTTCTTCCTCTGCCTCCTCCTCAGCTCTGGGCCTCACTAGTCTTTTTTATGTGGATGCAAAGGATCAGACTCAGATCCTTGCTAGGATAAGAATAGGGAGGGAGGGCAAGCATGACATTGAGAGCAAATTTTTTTTAATTTTTTTTATTAAATAGCTTGATTTACATGTCAATCCCAGTTCCCTCTCTCTCTCCTCCTCCCACAGCCCCCATCCCCCCCAAGCCTCCCTCCCTATTGCCAATTCCTTCCACATAGGGGATATCTAGAGTCTGTTATTTCACTCATGGTAGGGTCCAGGCACTCCCCTAAGAGTCCAGGCTGAGAGAGCATCCCTCTTTGTGCTATGGACACACAATGTCTGTTTGTATTCCAGGGATAAACATTGATCGACTGCTCAGGGCCCCATAGGCTGCCCAGGCCTCCTCACTGAATCTCACATTAGGGGGTCTGGATCAGTCCCATGCTGGCCTTCCCGCTGCCGGGCTGAGATCCAAGAGCTCTCCCCTGTTCAGATCAGCTGTCTGCTGGTTTTGCCAGCCCATTCTTTGCCAATTTGCTCATTGCTCCTCTCGCTCTGTCACTGGGTTCCTTGGGTTCAGTTCAGTGTTTAACTGTGGGTGTTTGCCTCTGCTTCCATCAGTCACTGGATGAAGGCTCCCGGATAGTTATAGACATCAAGTTCATTATCAGGAATGGGCATTCGAGGTGGTTTCTCCACTATTGCTTAGCTTGCCAATTGGTGTCATCCCTTTAGATCACTAGAGGTCACACTGGTGCCTGATCTGTCTTCTAACCTATGATTCCCTCTTCCTCCTATTCTACCCCCCCTCACTCAACCTTCCTGTTCCCCCATGACCTATTCTCTCTTCCTCTTCTCCCCCTCTCTTCTTCTCAGCTCCCACTCTCCCCCACCCCTCGCCGTGTTCCCCATCTGTTCAGAGGATCTTGCCTCATTTCTCTTCTCTTGGGTACCATGCATATCTTTTATGTTCTTTCCTGTTTCCCAGACTCTCTATCAGTGGAAGTGCATACTGGCACTCTCCTGATCCATGTCTAAAATCCATATATGAGTGAGTACATACCATGTTTGTCTTTTTGTGACTGGGTTACCTCACTCAGGATGGTTTCTTCCAGTGCTATCCATTTTCCTGCGAATTTCAAGATTTCATTGTTATTTTTTTTTCTGAGTAATACTCCATTGTGTAAATGTACCACATTTTCTCTATCCACTCTTCAGTTGAGGGTCATCTAGGTGGCTTCCAGATTCTGGCTATTACAAATAATGCGAGAGCAAAAATTTTTGAGGAAGGAAGTTTAGTAGAATATGATCCACAACATAACAGGTGTTCTGGAGAGAGGAGGGATTCAGGTCTCAACACTAGAAACTCAGTTTTGGAGGTTCCTGAAGAAAGGAGAAAAGTCTCATAAGTCAGGTTTGTGATCTCTTTCTTTTACATGTCAGTTTCTGGAGCTAGGGAAGGTTCCCATTTCGAAACTGCAACCAACCAAGAGCTCTGATTCCCAGGCAGGAGTTAGGACACAAGAGCAACAACTTCTTTGATGTTAACTCATTTCTCTTTGAGAAATTCTGGCACCAGGAAACCTATTAACAGGAGACACATAGACAAAGTCACCATACAGTGTTGCAGGTATCCCAAGAGGCTGCTTCAGCAGATACTGTAGCCTGAGCAGAGGCTGAATTCTAACATTTCATTTCTACAGTCCTCATACTTGTCCAGCAAGCACTCTACTAAATAAGCCATTTCCCCAGCTCTTAATTCAGCTTTTCAAAGAACACGCATTCCAAGACTGTGATGGTGTGTGGAACTTGAGATCTTTGTGTTACCATATGAAAGAATGGATCAAAGAACACAGGGAAAAATGAAAAAAAAAACAGAAGAAAATATCAGCAAAATCATAGAACAGAAAGCTAGTGTCCCAACTCCAGTGTTGGGACACATGAAGTACCACAGGTTCTAACAGAATTTGCAATCTGCCATTTCCATCTCTTCATAATAGGAGGCACTCTTTGTAACAGAGCTGGAGCCCCCAATACAGTCAGGCTGGAACCTTGCTACTGAATCTTGGAAGAAAGACATTGTCTTAATTGACAGTTGTATCTCTAGGAGATGCTGTAACAGGAAAAAGACCCAGAAACTGATAATGAATTCAAGCTTCAAACTGAAGATCAGAGACCCAAAGCAGCCAAGCCAGTAGATCTTACCACTACCCAGCTGAAATGGCTATCTGTCTGCACAAATCCTCAGAGGCAAAAGCTCTCCATTTCTACCTTTTATTCCTTTCTCTGTCCAGCCACATCATTCCTGCCTCCACCTCCCTAGTGCTGGGATTAAAGGCTTGTGATCCCAGATGCTGAGATCATTTTTGTGTGAGCTGTTTCTTTTGGGATGGGATGACTTTCGTATAGTCAGTGTGGCCTTGAACTAACAGATCCCTCTATCTCTTAATCCTGAGTCCTGGGATTAAAGGTGTGTACCACCATCACCTAGCTCTGGATGCTGGGATTAATGGTGTGTATCATTACTGCCTGGCCTCTATAATTTGTGGCTAACTTTGTTTTCTGAATCCTCAGGCAAGCTCTAATAATTTATAAGTAACATATCACCACAAGATGCTACCTACGATGTTGAAAGAGTCTTTGGTGTGTAACCCTCAGTAGGCCACATTCTTTCAAAAGTTGTTTCCTCAAATAAATCATCAGTATCAATTGAAATAAGTTCAGAAAGTTTAGCAAATGCAAGCCACTGCTTACTATGTAGAATATCAACAGAAACACAATGCACTTACTTACATGTCTACAGGCCAGGACAGAAAGGGAAAATTAAGAGGTAATGGTCAATGAGTAGGCATATTATAAACATTAAAGAGTATATGAACAACCTGTTGATGATTTTTCATAAATCTATGAACAAAAGATGGAAGGAAATAAAAAATTTTCAAAA